TGCTGCAAGACTAAATATGTGATATATGTGATATCTGGTTCGATTTTTGTAAGAAAACAATCAAGGTCTCCTCTTTTGGTGATATTCAGACGATTTCTCTGTTTGCTCATAATATGATTTCTCATCTGTGCATCAGCTCCCCTCCTCTCCCTCCTCAATTCCCCTCCCCACCTTTTTTTCTTCCTTTTTTCTATTTTTTAACCTTACTTATAGCAATTCCAAGTAGGAAGGCTGAGCTAGGCAGCCCACTTACTATTATTAGCCAACAACAATTCTCTCATTTTCCTTTTTTTTTCCATTCTTTCTCCTTTTTACAAGTACTCTACTCCTTCTTTCTCCTATTCTACAAGTACTCTGCGCCTTCTTTCTCCTTTTTACAAATACTCTGCTCCTTCTTTCTTCTATTCTACAAGTACTCTGCTCACAGACAAACACACACACACTTACAGACACACACACACTCACAGACAAACACTCACACATACACTTACAGACACACACTCACAGAGAAACACATTCACACAGACAAACATACACACACTCATACATACACTTACAGACAGACACACATACACTTACAGACACAGACACACACACTTACAGACACACACATATACTTACAGACACACACATACACATATCGACACACACACATAAACTTACAGACACACACATACACTTACAGACATACACACATACACACAAATTATTATTAAATGTCCACCCAGCCTCCCTACCTGGAGAGCTGGTGTGGATCTGTCCCTGGGGTCCAGTGGGAATTCACTTCAGCGGGCGGCAGAGTTCAAATCCGAGGGGGTGAGGAAGCTCTAACCTCTCTGCTCTGTTCCCTCGCGGGCTGTCTACTGATGCCGGGAGCTGGAACATGATGTCACATTCCAGCTCCCGCGGCATCAGAAAACATTGCGCGAGGCAACAGAGAGGTTTGAGCTCCCTCGCCGCGGCCGATCTTACCATGCTGGGGGTCCAGAAGGTGGCCTGGCAGGAAGGAGCGCTTCCCTCCTGCCGGTCACTGAAATCTTGCGCCCGCATAGCCACTTGCCCCCGCATAGCCACTTGCGCCCGCATCCAAAAAAGAGTATTTCGCTGCTGAAATCCCTACTGCCCACCTGGAATCCTGAAACGCACACTAGTGGGCTGTAGGGACCAGGTTGACAACCCATGGTTTAAATCATTGGCAACATACATTCACTCATTGTTTTTTTAAACACATAATACTTTTTCTTTTAATTTTAAAAATCTTTTTTTTCAACTGTATCCCATAAGTACAAACTATTACCATCCCATTTAAACTCTCCAGTCTATTTATATTCCACCATGTTTACGTATTCACATAGTCCTATTACAAAACTGTTAAGAATTGAAAAGCAGATGAGTTGATTGACAATATCATTAAATGGTTGCTCGAAACCCATTTTCAAGGTTAAATTTTGCTTTCAAAAACTCTATTAGGCACTTGAATTAATTGAGGAGGATGGCTTCTTCATGCGGGTGTTTTAGAAGAAGAAGCTGATAACTATTTTTTGCAAAGAACTGACATTAATCAGTCCCGCACAAAGTTCCATGCTGACTAAGTCATGTGTGCTACAAGTGTAAATAACACTCTGGAACATCTTTAAAGATGTCTCTGTATATGCCGCCTGCATGCTGAAAAACTGCACATACAGATTGCATATAAGTCAAGTGAGTCACACGTAAATAGAAATAACCAGATCTGAAATTCACCAAGAAATTCTACAGCACTGAACAATATCTAGACCAGGGGTAGGCAACCTTTTAGCAGTACTGTGCCGATATAGGATTGTGATGTCCTGTAGCGTGCCAATCCTATTTTTTTAAATTGAGGTGTGCATGTTGCCGTATTCTGCTTGTGTTATTTTTACTGTAATTGCTTTGTATCGTTGTATTTGTGCGTATATGAGCTATTATATTGTATATGTTCATTATTAGTTTATGGTATTGTGTATGATACATATGAATGTGGGCTGTTTATGGGGGCTGCTTGTGGAATTGTGTGTGGATGGATATGTCACATTGTGTGTTTGGTAGTGTGTGTATGTGTGGGGCTGTTTGGGGTATTGTATGTGAGAGGCTGCATGTGGGGTTGTGTGCATGTATGTGGATTGTTAGTGGTGTTGTGTTTGTGGGGATTGTGTGTATGTGTGTCCTTCACCACCTCTTCGTATTAGCAGATATCTGAAGTTTTACTGGGTCTCCTGATAGCCAGAGCCTGTTTGGCTCTAGCAGCCTTGAGTGCCGTGCAAAGACAACTTGAGTGCCGTGCATGGCACTATTGCCGTAGGTTGCCTACCCGTGATCTAGACTAATAAATAGTTGCAGCAGATACGTTGGACATACAAATACAAAGGATAGTGAAGGCCCTGCTCAAACCAGCTTACATGTTAAAGGGACACTATCAGGGCTGCCATCAGAAATTGTGGGGCCCCTGACACAGCTCAAGGTCTGGGACCACCGGTGCCTGCACCCGAGTCCGCCCACAGTGCTGCACCCCCCCTCCCCCCCCCGAGTCCGCCCACAGGAGTGGGCTCCCTCGCACGCCGGCCGGCTGTCAGGGCCAGCCTCTGGGGGGCCCTGAGGTGACCGGCTGCTGGGCCCCCCAGGAGAAGAAGCTGGCCCTGTGGGTACATACCAGGGTCGCAGGGCCCCCTGCGACCCGGTATGTACCCACTGAATGTGGGGCCCGGACAACCTAAGCAGTCCGGGCCCCCAAGGACCGCCGGGCCCATGACAACCGTTGCGGTTGTCATGCCCTGATGGCGGCCCTGGACACTATAGTCACCCAGACCACTTCAGCTCAATGAAGTGGTCTGGGTGCAATATCCCTCAGGTTTTAACCCTTCAGATGCAAAGATAGCAGTTTCAGAGAAACTGCTATGTTTACATATGGGGTAAGCAAGCCTCTACTGGCTGTCTTCTGGACAGCCACTAGAGCCGCGTCTGCGACGCTGGAGGCATATTATGCCTCAATCACGCAGAGCGTACATAGGAAAGCATTGAGAAATGCTTTCCTATGCACACTTTGAATGCGCGCGCGGCACATGCCACGCATGTGCATTCGGCTCCGCTGACGTCAGACGGGGGACCTAAGGTCGGCAGGGGAGGAGAGGTCACAAGCGCCGAGGGAGCCCGGCGATGGAATAAGGTAAGCTGCTGAAGGGGTTTTAACCTTCAGTGCAACGGGAGGGGGACCCTGAGGGTGGGGGCTCCCTCAGGGCACTATAGTGTCAGGAAAACTGCTTTGTTTTCCTGACACTATAGTGATCCTTTAATTAGTAGGGTTAAATGACACAAGAGGTAGTTTTAACATGTATGGAATGGAATGGAAGTATAAGGTTGCTAGAAGAGTTTTTACAAAGTAGACACTGTAGCAGAAGAAAAAGTGGGTTAGTGAGCTAAGGGGACGGAGACTAAGAGTTTAATTTGTAGCCTACTTAAAGTAGTGTTCTCGGTGATTTTTGATCATGGAACCTTAAGGAACACAGACAAAGAGGAGTTGTGTAGAACAGGAAGAACCATGAAACCTGGAAAGTATTAAACGTTCAGGAATCTCATCAGTTGACAGTGAACATTTAACATCAATTGTTGGAAAACAGTAGGAGAAGTAAAATGATTTAACTCAACATATTTACAGAGACAGTTGTTAAACTATAAATGTTAAATTTGAATTTCCCATAACTGTACAGATTATCAAACTGAAAATGTGGAAGATTCTTTGTCTGGTGTTTGCATTTGGATACTTCACTCCAACAGCAGATGCATACTGTGACTACTGCAAAGTTTCAAACTGTAAGTGAACTTTCAAAAAAAATTTCATAAAAAAATTATCCAACCTCCACAACCATGCGTAGGGAGCATTTTACACTTGGTCCTGTTTTGCCTGGACATGTAGATTTATACATTTTAAATGTCCATTTTTTATGTCAATGAAGTTGTTAAGTAGAGTTCACCCAGACAGCAGTACAGCTTTCTGTTTGCTGCTCTCAAATATTCAGACATTTGCTTGAGCTGAGCAGCACAGACACACTGAGAGCCAGATGCTAGGACATCAATGCAGCCCCCCATGCATGCTATGGAGTTCATTATTTCTTGCTGAGCCAGCTGCTTTCCAATTGTGTGCATCTGGTATGCTTCTACCAGTAACTCCTTCTCCTCATTAGAATACCTCTCCTATCCCTTCTGCCCCTCATGCTTGAGTTCCAGAAACCATTCCCTTTCAACATGCCAGAGTTCCAGAAAGCTCTCCCTTCTGTTCTGATCCTTGAATCTATGACTGCCTTACTACCCCATCCTGCTCAGGCAAAAACTGGTACATTTGCCCTTGTTCTCAATTACCTGACTGGAGGGTGGCTACCGTTTCCATCTCCACTTGATCCAACAAGGTTCCTTCCTCTGTCCTTTTTACTCCTAGTCTATTACGATCTGTCTCAACCATTCTTCCATCCATCATCCCTCTAGTTCTTCTCCTCCCTCTGATATACCTTTCCACACTAACCCCACTATTCATCTGAGCACACCTAACCTTCCCTACCATCCCTATCTACACTGACACTTATACTACCAAGTACCTCCACCCTCCGAAAGAGGTTTCACAAGAGCTGGAGGACTCTTGTAATCAGATTAAGGTAGACATGCAATTATTTACAGCAGATATTTGCCAAAAACATTGGAAGAGAGCCTTAAAAGTATTATTTTAAAGATAACTGTAGAACTTTTAAATAAATGTTTCTCTTGACCAGTGAATGTGCAAAATAACTGGACTGTAGTTTAGATTTGGCTCGTAGAATTTATTTTACTATATCTCTTATCATTACAGTATGGCACAAAAAGTATCTGTATAATACAGTGTCAGTTTAACAAAACATCATTCATATGGTTGCAGTGGCAGGATGAAAGTATTTTTTTTTAAATTAGGTACATTAAACAATACTTTCAAAAATAATAATGTTATCAATGTAATGCAGTTTTCCGCAATCACTTCGACGCTGATGAACTATGTGTGGGACTCCTGGATGTGAATATTGATGTAAACTTGGACCTTCTTGGACTCGTAAAGTAAGTACTACTATTTAAATGTGGGTGGAGAGATGGATAAATATGTGATTATTTTATTAAGTAACATATATAAGCTACTTGTTCAAAAGTATTTGAATGTTACACCTATATGAGCGTTCCAATTCATCGCAAAAGGTGTTTAGTGGGATTGAGGTCAGGGCTTTGTGCAGGCCATGCCAGTTCCTCAACACCAAACTTGTCAAATTGTTTCTTTATGGATCTCTCTTTGTACACAGGGATACAGTCATAATGGAAGACTATGTGGCAAGACCTTCCGCAAAATGTTGTACACAGACACACCAATATGATCTTTTATTGGAACTAATCTGGGAGAATGAGGCACAAATAAGGAATCTGGGAGAATGAGACAAATTGAGGGGACTGGTGTAATGAGAAATAGAGGAAACCGAGGGGTGGCAAAATGCATCTTTGTCTGTGTATCCAAAAATCCTTGCACTGGCCCTGGACTTAGAACAAAGACAGTGTCACTGAGCACTTTGGAAGAACCCGTTGTCTATGGAAATTTCATGAGTAGGAATTAATATACATGGAAGTAATGAAAATGGCTGGAACACCTGAACTTAATAATGAGAAGAGGTGTCCACATATTTTTGTAATTTGTATATTGTATATATTGGCCCCAGAGCACCCTGTAATATATGCATGTTCATATTAAAACAAACATACCATTCAGTTTATTGCATAAATACAATTTATACATTTCAGGGTTACATTCTCATTTTGCTTATGCACTGTTTTGTTTTACTTTGCCCACTTTACTTTCTTAATGTAAAAAATGGAACCTGTTCTTTTCTATGTTTTTGTAGGCTCACCATCACGGGTATAGACGTTAAATTAGCACTGGTACATGCATCTACAGATGACAGTAACGTCGTAGTTTTGGTGTATGATGGAAGCATTGATGCTACCTTAACTTCGTGAGTAAATTTACTTTTTTTAAATACAGTTAAAGGAACAGCACACACACAGACAAAAATACAGTTTTTCATTTAACAAGGCTACTTAAAATCACCTATCTTAGCAAAAAATATGGGGATTCAGTTCCACCATTTGGGCATATTGTGTTAGGCTCACCCCTACATCACAGTACCCCAATAAACACTCTAAGCACCAAAACCACTAAACCTTAGTATTAGTGGGTTTGGTGCAAAGTCAAGCAGTTAGCCAACAGAGACACTTCCTTTTTAAGACTTTCAATAATTAAAAGTCTTCACATTTGGCATAGCTGACTTCTTTGGAGGCTTCTTATAAAAGTACAGTGGTCGTTGGACATGCCCAGTTAGCTCTTAAGACTTCTATATGAGAAGAATTGGATTAGACCATAAACCATCCATAAGGATGATCTGAGAAGATGAGTAGCAGCTGCCTAGCAGAAACTGTCTTGGATGTAGGGAGTAAACACTAAAAAAAAGTTTTATTTTAAAAACGTGTGAAATGGGAACCCTGTAGAAACGACTGTAGAAATATGGATACCAATGCAAAATCCATTTACCAGCATAGCACTTTAAGTCCAACAAGTAGGGAGGTCCAGTCGACATGACCAGTCATCAATCAATAATGAAAACTGTCATATATAGGTGATGGAAGTGCACTCAATCCTTCGTCTGGAATTCAGGGTGCTCAAGTGGATAAGTCCCAGTACCAAAAAAGGACCAATTGTAGCATTTGAATATAGAAAAGAATCCAGGCACTCCAACCAATTCCAAAATATGGGCAATCTTTATTGGAACAAGGAACCAAACAGCAATGTTTCGACCCCTTAGGGCCTTTGTCAAGATTGTCTATATTTTGGAATTTGTTGGAGTGCCTGGAGTCAAATAATGAAAATTGTGACATTTTGGGGCACTGAGCATGATGTTAAGTTGCATCTTGGAGCCAACCAACATTGACCACGGTGGTGACTGTGTAGATTTTTAAATGGAAACATGGATCTATACACTTACCCTTGCAAATTCTTTGTGCTATGTCAATCCTGTTAATAGATATGACTTCATTTAGCTACCCAGCATAGTGTGATTGAGTGGAAAATGTATTGTTCATGGTTGTATTATCCTGCCACCCCACAAAGTGTATTTGTTTGTAAGCGTCCATTATCAGTCCCTTAAACCCTGCCTTCCACTGTGTTCAGTGTTCTTCCTATTTCCTGTTATAAGCCTTTAGCTCCCATGATCCTCAAGCAACCAAGATGTTAGGATGGGGCTAAGCTTGAATCCTAGGGTTCAATGTAGTGTTAATCCAGCTCTGCATATGAACAGTTGTGAGCAGCTCAACTACCCACGCAGACATGACAAACAGAGGCTATATCAGTGCAGGAAATTACAGTGG